CTCTCCCCCAGCCTGTGCCTGGGCACAGCCTCTCTTCTGCCCTCCCTTCCCTCTCTCTCAGCTTACCCTCTCTGGTAAGATCACTCCCTGGATGCCCTTGGACTGCGAAGTGGATTCTCCATACAGTGATTGCCTCTATATTTACAAGAGGCTGTGGAAGTTACTGAAGTGCAGTTTAGCAGTTTGAAAAATGCATTCAAACTGGATCTAAGAGAATTTCTTGGTAAGAGATGAGTTGGACAAAGATGAAAGACTAAGACAGGGCTGATTCTGTCTGCATCCTGTAGGTTTTTCTGTAGAGTTTTGGGGTTCCTCTTCTGCTCTGCTCAGTCCCTGCACCCAGGACTGGATGTTCACCCAGGGACACTCCTCTGCACATGGCTCTGAGGACAAAGCTGCTAGTGTCCCACTCTATTTTTACAAAGTGATCAGCCATAGCCAAGAGATGTGAATTCAGAAGGAGATTCTGAGCCAGTTGTCAGTCAATCAGCGAGTTGTGTCTTCCACCCCCACCCCGCCCAGCCTATGAAACCAAAGTGGGAAGGACAGCATGGAGATGTCAACTACTGTTTACCTGTAGGTAACAGCCAGGCTACAGAGTGCCATTTGGGGTTAGTGGAGATGATGGATCGTCGATCCTGACTGTTCCTAAACTCCTTCCTTCAAGTTTGCTTCCTGTTCTATAAGGTGAATGTATAATAAGTGACATAAGAGCCTTAGGAATGCTGGAACACATTCTACTATACTTCAGGGCTTTTAGAACCCTCTGCATTGCTGAGCCTATCAGAGGAGGGTAGTCTGGCAAAGCATTCCTGCCTGACTGACTCTGAAAAGGAAGAATTTCCTATTATTGACATGATTATGTCCTCTTTAACATCACTTTTTTTTTTTTTTTTGATGGGACCCTCACAGGTGGCTGGGGATCTAACCGGCTCTGCAGAGGCTGCAGGCAGTCTCGCAACCCAGCGCTCAACCACTGCACCACCAGGGGAGGCCCAACATCACTATTTTTAAAAGCAATTAGCTTCTTAAGTATCTTTAGCTGTGGAGAAAAGAAAATGCAGGAGTGGACTTTTCTGACTGCATCATTCTGCTGCATCTTATCAGTCAGGAGATTTGCTTTTTCAGAATTGCAGACCTGAGCAGAAAGCTGCCTTCAGGTTCCTGGGCTTGCCCTCCTGTGGTGTCTGCAAGCCTTCAGCTGGGGCCTGCTTCATCTGGGCTCAGTGTTCTATACAAACACATCCTGTGACAGCACAGCTTTCCAGTAGAGAGTTCATTCATTTTTGGAGTCTGTGGGTTTGGAGTGCAGGGGTCCTTGCATTCACTCTGGAAAAGGTTTCACCAGAGCTCCCATTTCAGCGACACGTGGCAAGTTTCCCAGGCAAGTTTCTCCACGAGTCAGAGACATTAATTATATTAAAAGGACAGGTTTAATTAGGAAAGGAAAAAAAACAGTTAAAGACACTTGCATAGACACAAGCGGGCAGGAAGAGCTGCCCCAGAAAGGACAGGTTTGCTGAGAAAGGTCTGCATGGTTGCAGGCGAGTGGCCTTGACAGGTCACGGGCAGGCAAGAGGGCTGCTGCCTTGCAGAGGGAGAGAGTTGGTGAAAAGTGGTACCTGCATAGTCATAGGTGAGCAGAGGGAGTGCTGCCCTGAGCCAGTGCAGAGACTGCACTGATACAGTTTTCTGTTTGGAAGGGCTTACTCGTTGTGAGCTGTCAGTTGGTTGCTAATTTTGGATAACTATGTAGAATTTGAAAGGGACCAGAGATTCTACAATGGGTTCAATCTCTACATCTTTACCTTTGGGGTCTGTTGGGCTCAATCTCCATATCTTTAGACCATGCCTCCAGACTTGGGAGACTAGTGCCAACCACCTCAGGATACTAGTTTCCAATACTGTGCTGATGGTTGTGTTAATCCCTTCTGCCCCCACCTCCTTGTGTGAGCCGGGTTTCTGGTCTCCTGGCACCTCCTTTAGTTTTTTTTTTTTTTTTAAGATTTATTTATACAAGAACTGGGGTACAGTTAGAGGCACTGGAGGGTGAGAGGATTTACCAGAGACAGAGTGGGGAGCAGAACAGGCAGACGGACTGAAGACACTGCTGAGGAGACCAGTGGGTGAGACAGGAGAGGTCTGCTGTGCCATGTGGGATTCTCCCTGGCTGGCTGAGAATTAAACCCATGCTGCAGAGGCTGTGGACAGCTACACGGTGCTGTGCTCAACCCACCGGGGAAGCCCTATATATTCTCTATACATGTTAAATATATCCTGGGAAATAAGTGCCCCAGGTAGAGACCTCCTCCCAACTAAGTGAGTTATTGACTGTCTCAAGAGTACTTCTGCACCCTGCCCTATGCAAGATGCTTAGGTGTCTAGCTAGAGAACTGCTGGTCCCTCCTTACCTCTATCCACCCCCTGGGCTCTGGACTGCTACACCAAAGGTTGACTGTTAACACTGCCCAGGCAGTGACTAAAGGGCAGTTGACATGGTCTAGAAATGCTTTAAGAACTCCTGGCAGTCACTGCTGGTTCATTATCATTCTCCTTTGTGCCTTACTTAGTGTTCGTTACAAGTACTCTCATCTGTGGCTCTAGACTTGTACCCCATTTGAGTTTGCTGGTATGTGCAGTGACTTTCTTGATTTTCTGTTAGGGTTTGTTTTGTTTGTGGTCAGCAGACCCTAGTGAGTGTGAGGTGGCAACTGGAGAGTGCTGTCTGGGTGTAGGATTTGATGTCCTTTCACTAGCTTGAGCCTCCCTTTGTGTCTGTCCCTGCCCCAGGGCTGTAGCAGTGCCCACTCTCACACCCCCACCCCCACCTTGCAAGGCCTGCCAGACTGGCTCTGGGAATCTGAAAGCTTGGACATGGCCTTATGACAAAGCACATCATAGCTTTTAATACCCAAACTATATATAGATCTTTGAGGGAATGACCATGAAGCAACAGAAAGGTGAATGAGTTTAAAGAAAAATATGGTAGGACTGAAAATATTTAAAAACTGGTGGCACAGATGATTTGGGGCAGGAAAAGAGACTCATGGACTTGGCAAGATATGAAATGCATTTGAACATGATTTAAGTTTCTTAGAGAAGATAATTGTAAAATTATAATAGCAGATAAACTCATTTAGAATCTTTAGGAAAGCAGGAAAGTTAGGAACACACTGATTTGGGTAGTTGAAAGTATAAAACAATGGTGGGTGAGGAATTAGCATATGTATAAGGAATTGTATGAATTCCTTGTTTTTTTAAAAATTTATTTTTACGTTAATGCATTTGTTTAAAAAGTATTTTCCTGTAGATCAGAGACCCTGTTTTTGTTTAAATTTTATATACTTAGCCCTGTCAGCTATATTAGAATATTTTCTTGGTTTTGTAGTAGTGTTTACATTCATTAAGTGAAATATACCCTCTGGAAAAGAGATGGGGGAATTTCTTTTTTAAAAAATGTGAGTTGAATACAGGTCCTTAGTGTCTTATCCAGTCCCTGAGTTGGGGAGTTCTCTGGGTTCAGGGGAACTGTGCCTGAGAGGGCTGTAGGTAAGAATCCTGACCCTGCTCCCAGCCACTTCCTTGTCACACCTCCCTCAGGGAGAATATATCCAGCAAAGTATGTTTTTGGTCAGGCCTGAGCAAAGAGACCAAGACCTGGGAATCAGGTCCTGAGTGTCAGGACCAGCTGACATTCACAGCCATGGACACTCCAGCTCCAGAGTCGCCACCGAGGGCTTCAGCTGCGGGAACAGAGATTTCTAAGAGACTTGGCAGCCAGGCAGAATTCAAAGGACACGTACTCAGGCTGCGAGTCCCGAGTGAGACTTCACTGCCACGGGGATACTTCAGCTGGGGTTTTTCTGATGTGTTGGTCTGCGAGCCATGGTGTTGTTTTGTCATCACTGCTACCTTGAGCAGGTGCTCTCACTGAAGTGGGGAGCAAGTGGGGGAGAGGGTGGTGATTGCATCAGGCCCAGGGAGGGACCTGATTGGTGGCCAGCTTCACTACCTAGAGGACCTGGGAGGCAGCTCACAGCTCTTTCAGACTGCCTGGAGACTGCCTGCCTGCCAGGGCCCTGTCCACACGGGCTGCCAGCCGTGGGTCAGTACGCAAGGGGGCTTGCCAGGAACGTGGGGGAGAGGCCAAGGATAAACCCCCTTTTAAGAGGCACTCTGTATTTAAAATGCCCTCATGTTCTTCTGATTGCTTTTTCCATGCTGTTGAGGTAAGATTTTTAAAAAGCATCGGTGTTTCCCTAAATATTTTATCCCTGTCTATTTTGTGACTGCAACAGAGTTACAAATTTATAATCTCCATTTCTACGCCACTGTCCCTTTGCTGAGAGCTGCTCATTTTTTATGGTTTTGAACAGTACTAGGAATATGCAACTTGCTTGTCATTTTGGAGAGCCCAAAGAATTTATGATGATGTTCTCATTCTCCCCTTCTTCCTGTTAATTTAAATTTTAGAATACTCACATGAATTTTTCTAAACTTCTTAAGCCTACATGCATATGAAGTAGGTGGGTGGGTAGGATAAGCAAGGCAGTGGGTGCCAGCACTGAACCCTGTACCCCTGGAATAAAAGAGCAGGTGAGTCATGAAAGGATCTATCTTTTGTTTTGTTTTTGCACTTGGTTCGTTTATAAAATGTCCAGTCCAAAAGTGGACTAATAGTAGTGTTTCAATGAATTATGTTGCTTCTGAAGATAGGCTGTTGAGAAGCAGTGTGTGCATTCTGGTCTGTCCCTGTGCTGTTCCCTGAGGTGTCCTGACATTTTGAGACTATCACCGTTGCCATCCTGCATCTCTGCCCAATGGAGAGGGGTATCAGCACAGTCATCCTATGTGCCTGCTGCTGCAGTTACTGCTGCTTGGAGGGACAGTTATACATGTATGGGAGCACTGCTGTTTTAACTTTTTCTGTTTCATTCTGTTTTTACTTCTTAAAAACCCCAGAGTCTGTCATCTGTAAGTATCCCCTTTATGTGTTGCAGGATGTTAAAGTCTTCAGTGAAGATGGGACAAGCAAAGTTGTGGAAATCCTAGCAGACATGACAGCCAGGGACCTGTGCCAGTTGCTTGTGTACAGAAGTCACTGTGTGGATGACAACAGCTGGACACTGGTGGAGCACCACCCGCACCTGGGACTAGGTAGGAGACCCAGCTGGGGGTGGTTGGCATGAAATCAGATGAAGCCCACTGCTGCCAAGTACCAAATGTGTGATCTATGTTTACCCTGCCACAGTCACTGTGCTGAGCAGGCACTCTCCGTACTGTCTTCCACTTGTCTGCCTCTTATTCCTCTGAAGCATCACTTTCCTCCCTCCCAGCCCTCTCCCGACATTTGGAATCTTGCTCTCAGATGGTAAAGCATACCATCCCAAGGGCTCAGACACAGTGAGAATATTCTCCCTGTGACTTGGCTGGAAAACCTGGCTGTGAGGGGCTTGTTAGCCCCTTGGTCAGGGAGGGGAGCCTGGCAGTGCCTGGGGGAGAGCCTGCCACTTGCAGATTCTGGCCTCACTCTGGAGGGGCAGCTCATCCGGCTGACAGCAGTGAGGCAGCCTGGTGACAGGCTGCAGGAGAGCCAGGGAGGCCCCTGGGGATGGAAGTACACCATAAAGCAGCTTCATCTAAGTTTGAATCTTATGTTGTGTCACAGTGTACTTGATATGCATTAAGTTGGGTTATGCTTTATATAAAATCAAATTAAAAGGGAAGCAATGGGCTTCCCCAGGGGTGCAGCGGGTTGAGCACAGCACTCTGAAGCTGTCCACAGCCTCTACAGAACAGGTTCGAGTCCCGACCTGCCAGGGAGATACCCACATGGCGCGGTGAAACCTCTCCTGTTTCACCCGCTGCTCCTCTCAGCAATGCTTTCAGTCAGTCTGCCTGTTCTCTCCCCTCTCTGTCTCTGGTGAATCCTCTCACCCTCCCATGCCTCTGGCCTGTACCCCAGTTCTTGCATAAATAAATCTTTAAAAAATAAAAATAAATAAAAACAATAAAAGAGAAGCAACAAAGGAGCAAGTAAAATGACGAAAGACAAAAACCATTTGGGTCAAATTTTGGATTTTCAGATACATGAAAAGGCCTTAGAAAGTTCTTTCTCACTTTTCTTCTCCTCACTCCCACCTCCCCCAACTTTCTGGTTGGCAGCTAGTGAGCACACTGTCCTAATAACTGGGTTTTTGTAGAGGCTCTTGTAGGATTTTAGAACCACAAAGTCCTGCTGTCCTATGAGGTCAATGTCCAGGCAAACTTTCCACTGCTTTGAGCTTCTTGCTCTCCCTGTGTCTTCCCCATGTATTCCTTTGTGATCCTAGCCTGTCATTGAATTTTTTTAAATCAGTTAAGTTGCTGTTTAGATGGAAATACTGTTCCTTCAATTTTTTTCACTAGCATTTGGTTGTGAGATGCCCCCTGGTGGGGAAACTGAAAGTACAGCCCCGTTGTTCCCATGCCACCAAGAAGGCAGTGTGGGAACGCCTCTCAGGGAAGCCCTGGGTGCTGGGGCACTAGTGCCCTGGAACAGAATGTGAGCACATCAGACTCCTGTGGAATTCTTTGGATTGAGTGATGTTCCAAGGTGTGTTCCTGGGTCCTGGCACACACAGACAGCCATCCCCTATTCTCTGGGTCACTACCCCATCTCCTTTTAGAAAGCCTTTTTCTCTCATGTTATATGTTGGGGATGCTTCTGGGCCTTCTGTGTGGGTGGGGCTCGTGGCTTGGGTGAAAGGTAGAATGTACTTACAGTTCCATCCCTAAGGCAGAGTTACCCCAACTTCTAATAACTGAGGACATAAATGAACCAATCCAGACAGCATTCTTAGTCTATTCAGAGCCCCAGAAATTGAGAATTTCTAAGCATAGTTGTTTTACTGAACTTTGCAGCTAAAATATTAGGTTCTTAACAACATGAAACCTATCCATACACAGGAATGAGTAATGATTTGGAAAAGATGGGGCTGTTCGTAAGAGCCATTATGAGGTGGTTTCCTTGCCACCAGGGGAAGACCATGCAGTATGTGAGTGTCCACAATCTCTAACAACTCTCTGGGTGTCAGTTCCCCAGAGTGTACAGAAACAGTGGCAGCCCACTGGCATTCTGCAGGCCACCTTGCTGCTTGTGGGAATTTTCCTGCCCTCTCTCTGAACTGTGCTTGTTGCCAAAGCCAGGTCAAGTGACCCTTCTTAATGCCCCATGTCAGCTCCTGAGTTCATATGCCAGCAGTTGGTGCCAAGCTCTTGTAGGCCAAGCCCTTAGTGATCAATGGCCAGTGAGCATGTTTATGTTCTGTGATTTCTAGGTTTCCTGCTCCAGAGAGTATTCTGTGATCTGCTTCTGTGTTAGTGAGTCCCCAGAGTCCTGTCTGTTGGGGATTTTCAGCCTCAGTGTTTGGCATAGAACCCTCAGATAACGGGAACATGATCCCTGACCAAAGCCACCCACTAACTGCCATGTCCATCTATTGGGAAAGGACTGGGTGGTCATTTTTTGAGGCATTGCCATTTGTCTGCCCAAGCTCATGATCTGTGTATCTCTGAACAACTTCCCACATAGCAGCCAGGACAACTTCCCACATAGCAGATATAGAGATGGTAAAAAGCCAGTCTGCAGCTGTATCTTGAAAACACTCTGGTTTTTTAAGGGAAATTCAAAGAATAGGAAATGAGTCTGGCTTCAAGATAGATGAGGGAGAAGAGAATGGAATTGATTCACACAGCCCAGTGAAAAGAAATCACAGATGGGCTGGTTCCTAAGAATTTCTAGGATTTGAGGAATTCTGTGCTCATATGAATTGGGAAACACCTGAGGAAAAAGCACAAACTCTTGCTTGTGTTGTTTAAGGCTTTGAATTTGTTCCTGGCCAGGTGATAAATTCGGCAGCATTGCCCATTGAATAATAGGCTGGACATGGTTGGGCACTGAGAGCTGGATGCACAGACAAGTCCAAGAGGAACACCTGTGGTCTGCAGCCCTTGGTTGCCAGAGGGGCCTCCTAGGCTGGTTATCTCCCACCTCTCCCTGTCTGTTACATCTGAAAGGTGTCAACATACTATCTTTGCCCCACTGGAATCTATAAATAGAATAAAGCCACCTATTTTGAGTATCCAGGTGTCAAAGTTAAGTTCCCTAAGGGCATGTTATCTTGCCGATGATCTTGTTCACAGTTTCTCACAGTACAGAAGGCCCTGGGCAGCCAGCTCAGCATTCCATACTCGATAAGCAGTGCTGGGTGATGAACGGCTGATGTGGGCAGGACCCACCAGGTAGGATGTCACTGCCCCTCCCACCAGTCTGTGCCACATGGCTTGCTGCTAAGGAGGCATGTGTTTGGTGCATATATTAAGCACAGAAGTAAGAGTTGCTATTTTGAGTTGTATGATTTTAAGTATTTTCTACATGGAGTGTGGTGGTTGTATATATGCTGAACTTTAAAGAATTTCAAAAATGTGAAAAATACAAATACCCTTCAAGGAATGTCTGCCTCTTCCATTTGTATAGAAAGTCTTTTGAAAGACCTGTAGTGAAATCTTGCATTCCAATTTTATGTGAGGCCATTGGAACCATACAATATTTATAGGAAGTAATGTGATTGTTTAATACCATCAACCAGAGTCATTTCAAAATATGTCATTTGCATCATAGAGCACTGGAACAAAGAGTTTTGAACTAATGTTATCTGGGTGCCATTTTGGCAGCTGTGATAACTGGTGCAGGCTGGGACCACACACAGCTCCCAATCTCTGAAAAGGGCCATCGGTTCATCCACACAATCTTCTGGATGCATAGCTGGCCACTGTTTTCTATCTCTACAAATGTGGAAAAGGGACTTGATGTAGCAGCCCTTGTTATCTGCGCCTGTAGGTGTCCTGGATCTCCCTAGTGTCACCAGAGCGAGCAGAGACATGCTCCTGTCAGAGTGCACGGCTTCCTTGTCCCTCTGCCCATGGGCCTGACAGCTGCAGACACTCCATATCTGTTTACACTGTTGAGTGCATCTTCCCGGGATCTCACCAAGGGCTCAGAGAACAAGAAGAGGTCATGGGAGGGGTGTCTAGGTATAGTAGGTCACTGGCCCTTGAGAGCATGTGGTTCCCTCAGCCTTCTTGGTCTCTCCTCAGGATTCTTTAGACACAAAATACTTCTTGGTTTAGAGCTAGACTCTACCTTGTCCTCACTGAGCTAGCTGCCACTTTGCTTTTTTAATGTCTTCTTTTACCTAGGAAATTTTTTTAATTCTAGAAACTCTCAGCAGGTTATTGAGTTGTTGGTTTCACCCCTATATTACAGGAATATTTTCTCTGAATAAAAATCTCGAAAATCACTGATTTGTTCTTCATCTGAAAAATCCATTTCAAATGAATGGTATTGAGCTACCCTGCTTTTTTTAAAAGCAAACTATACCACTTTAATCACAAGCTCAGGCTGTGTGGTTTTCTTTCTTGCTGTGAAAAAAAAAAAACGGTGTTTTGGTCTATTTGTTGCTAGTAAATAACCCACCACCAGGGACAAGTGGGCCTGTGGGTAGTGCTGGCAGTGTTAGGGCTGAATGTGAACTTTCTGGTAGTCATGGGGAGAAAATTCATTTCTTTGGCAAATTTAACTTTAAATATATTTTTGCCAGCATATCCTTTTTGATAATGTCCAAGCTGGATATGCTCCGTGTGCCGTGTGGCCCAGGATCGCACAGGAATGGTATCCTTTGGAGGCAGAAATTCTTCCTTGTTCTCAGATGACTTTGACTCTGAAACACATTCACACTACACTTGATCTCTTCCTTCAGTGCAGTCCTTTTCTAGGATTTCTACTGTGGGCACATGAAAGCAGTGCTTAGAACAGCACACTGCATTCCCTCTTTTCTGTCAATTTTGTAGCATCTGATTCTCTACCATTTTGGCATTGGTTCATCCATTGAAGTCAGGGTGGGTCTGTTCACATTGTTGATTCCATTATTTCATATGGTTAGTTCCCTCTTGCCCCCCTCAACTCTCAGTCACAATAGTCTTTGAGGAGACATGTGGGAGGAAGTGTAACGCCCTAGGATTAAAACAGTACCGAGAACAAGTCTAGTTCTTACTGCTCCTGGAGGAGCCAGAGCCTTCACTGGGTGAGAAAAGTGCCTGTCCAGGACCATGCCGACACACTGGGAGTGGTGAGCACTGCGTTTCCTCCCTGCCCTAACAGTCTCATCTAGTCAGTGAGAATACTATGAGATCCAGTTTAGTGTGCGCTTCAGCCTTAAAGATGAGTGTGGTTGGACAGACTGATTGTGTAGCGTGTCCCATCCCATATTCTGCCCCTTAACACCATTTCAAGCAGCTGAGTTCCATGAAAACAGAAGCATCATGCCCTCTGCTGCCATTCTTCTCTGCATGCTACCCATTAGGTCCTCCTTGCTCAGTGCCCTCCCTCTGCTCTTTGTGTGGGTGTTTTCCCAGTTGGTATAGTCTGCACTCTTCCTGAAAGGTGGAATACTTCATGTAAAGGCAAGGTCATTTGCTCAGAGGCTTTATTGATTCTCTTTAAGTTTTTGTTGATAGAAAATTGAAAAGAAGTACATGAAAGTAAGGATTGGCCCTCATACTGCTTATCTCTTTAAGTGTTGGGCAGTTTATATTTTGTTTACTTCCTTACCTCCTCTCTCTTCACAGTGTGTAAAGAACAGAAAGTTGAGCCAGGTTTTGTAACTGATTGTATAGCTACCTTGAAAGATTCTCCTATTTGTTCTCACACATGATACATTTCTACAGAAAGGTGCTTGGAAGACCATGAATTAGTGACGCAGGTGGAAAGTACCATGGCAAGTGAAAGTAAATTCTTATTCCGGAAGAATTATGCAAAATACGAGTTTTTCAAAAATCCTATGGTGAGTCTTATCTCTGTGGGTTTGGGGTGTAGAGCTCTTGAAATCTTGAAGTTTATTCTTGGGCTTGACAGTAGCAAATTAAGAAGTAACAGATTTCAGGGGTAGCAGATAGGTATGAGAATATGAGTTGTTCTCTAACATAGCAACCCTTGCTAAAATCTCATTCTCTGATGTGTAACTGAATGCCTGTGTATTGCTGGCTTCGTCTGTAGTGAGAAAAAGATTCGACCCTAAGTGACAAGAGAGAGGAGAAGCCAGATTGTTTTTTTAATTATTTTGAAAGTTCTTGATTAAACTGGAGCAAATTGGTCAACTACTCAACTGAACAAAAATTTTAAGTAGCAGATATCATATTATGATTATTTGTGGAAGAATAAGAAGGGTTAGGGGCTTGTATATCAGCACAGGGAACCTTATACCTGTGCTTCTGTTCCTAATCATGAAACAGCTGTGGTGACATGGAGATGACCCAATGCCAGCTTCTGGCTCTGATAATTTAGCTGCCTATTTATTTGACAGTAAGAAATTTGATTACAGTACTGGTTAATACAACAGAAAAAAGCTATTTCACATCACTGTGCTCACCTTTTAATTTCAGGGACTTTTTATCTCCAGCCATGCACACATGTCACATCTGTGGGGCCATCTTTGCCTTGGTGTGCACTGTGTTACATGGATTCACATTTAATATAACAAATACGCCAATCCTGAACTAAGCATTTCAGGAACATGATATAACATTTTGGAAGGGGTGTCTTCACTGCGTAATAGAGGAATAAAAAGGACCACCATTTTAATACAAATGTATATAATCAGACCTTAGGAACTTTTTTGGTAGTGGTACACACTATAAACATGCTTTTCCTTACTTTGAAGCTAACCTTAAACATTTATTTCTCTGTTTCCTTAGAATTTCTTTCCAGAACAGATGGTGACATGGTGCCAGCAGTCCAATGGCAGTCAAACCCAGCTTTTACAGGTACTGGTCAAAAATCAACTTCTGTGAAAGTATCTGGATAGATATGCTGCAATGGTTGTTCTTTTAATCACATATTAGCCTTGGTTTCTAATGGGGCTAAGAATAACCAGAAGAGTAAGTGCTTACTTGGGCTATCAGTATGCAGTCAGGCTCTTTCAAGATGAAACCAGAGCTTACAAGCAGGACAAACACACCCTGACTTTGGAGCAGTTGTAGCACTGTCATCTGGGCATGGAGGGCATAGTGGAGGAGTTGTTCTATGAAGTTCCCAGCCCATGTCAGGCTTGGGTCCACTGCTGCTGGAAAATCCCTATGGAAATAATGAGTCCAGTTCATAGTAGAAAACAGGGTTGCCATAACATCTTTTTAGAAGAACCTTATTGTGTATTAAAAACCAGGAAATTTGTCTTAGTGAACCACCTTCCTAAAGTATATTCCAAGCCCCCTTTCTATAGAGAGTCAGGAATGTTCCACCTCTGAAAACCTGACTATTTACAACATCTTAAGTGAGAGAATAAGTATTTACCACTTGATGACACCAAGTAGGAAAAAAACTACTAAGTTTAATTCCTACAAGATTCTACCCTTAGCCCTTCTGATCTGCGGATCACGAAGTTTGTTTCTCCCTCCCAAAAGATGGGTGCATGCTGCCATGCTCTTCCCAAGCCTCCGAGCTATAGCATCTATCTGTTCTGGCAAGAGTTCTGGCGAGAGTTATTAACATTTAGTTATTGTGGCTGTGCACAGTGACATTGAAATGGCTAATTGCTTTTTAATTGCCTGCTTGGGGTTGGATGTGAGCACAGTGGGGCGTGCAGTGACTTCTGGGCCTCCAGAAAGCTGGTCAAGTACATCAGAGCTCTGCCCCACTGGTCCATCCACCCCCAGGGAAGGCTGTCCCCTTCTAGACTAGTGGAGATGACCCGTCAACATCACCGCCCTGGCCTCATGCCCGACCTAACTCTTGGCCTCTTTCCCATCGGAAGATGTGCCTGTGGGAGACATGAGCTGGGATGGTGACCAGCTCCAGGGCATCCAAGAGACACCATGTGCTCAGACACTGTTGCACCCCTTCCAATTGGAGGGCACATGGGCGATGTGACAGCTGACTGCTTGCTCAGTCCTCAAATCTTCTTGAGTTGCTCCTGGCACTTCCTGTTGTCCTGATTCTGATGACCAGACTAGTTTATTATATGTGAAAATGGAGTAAAGGGCAGGATCCTTAAAAATACTGTCTCTATATTCATGACTGTGTTTCTTGGTAGTGTTAGAAAGGTCCATTTGTGTGTTTTTTAATATTTAAATACTAATAGTAAATACTAATTATGTTCTATGCAGGGATATTTCAGACTGTTAAAAGGGAACAAACAAATTGAAAATGCTCAGCTTGACAAAAGAATATTTTACTAATTCAGAAAATATCAAAATATTAGCAATGCTAAATTATCTGCCTAAATTATTTTATGTTATCATTATCTGACTTAAAACTTGATCTTCAACAGAATTTTCTAAACTCCAGTAGTTGTCCTGAAATTCAAGGGGTTTTGCATGTGAAAGAGCTAGGAAGGAAATCATGGAAAAAGCTGCACGTGTGTTTGCGGAGATCCGGCCTTTATTGTTCCACAAAGGGAGCTTCAAAGGTGAGTTTCAAAGCTCATCACTGCCAGTCACATAGGCTGTGAGTGTTCGGAGTGAGTTGGGCTTCATTTTAAAATGTATCTTGGGTTCCTCCATGCTCATGATAACTTATTAAGTGAATCAAATAACAACGAAACTCGGAGTGACTGGTCTGCTGGCCTATCTCAGAAACCAGGTGTTCACACAAATCTGGCAACCCCCAGGCTGTACCCCTTTGTGTCTTGGACTGTATCCCTCCTGTACCCCCAGACTGCATCTCTCCTGCTCCTTCAGACTGTATCCCTCCCGCGCTTCTCCAGCTATATCCTCCAGCATCCCCAAATTGACCATTTGTGTCCCTACCGGGCTTAGGAGCATAGCCTTCTGGCTGCTGATGTCACTTAAAAGATGCTTAGTTTCCCTAATTTAGTGACTGGGATCCAGGCTTTTCATAAGGGTGCTTGACAGTTTATTGTATTCCTAATGCCAGTCTAATATATGTTATTATAGTCATTTTATGGAATAAGTTACAGTTTAGTATTTAACCCCAGTGGAAAGAAGTGTGACTGAAAACAGCTGCAGCCTCTAAGGAGAGTGAGGATTGCCTCCGGGTCTCCTTTGGTGGCTTTGCACATTCTTACCTAATCTTTTCTTGTACTATCCTCAGTAGGGGTCAGGCTTACCCTGCCTTTGTCTCACCTTTACCTTCTAACCCTGAGGGCCTCTTCTGCTCTTGCCAGGAGAGTAGGGGAAAGCAGGGGTGACTCAGGTGAGTGTGCTGAGCATTGGGCTGACCTAGTGATGCTCTAGGGATTGAGCAGCTGCTGAAGACATGGGCAGCCAGCTCTTCTACTCTGTAGGTAGATGTCTTCTATCCAGAACAGACCAGGATGGGCAGTTCCCAGCTTAATTTGTGATTTTATTCACTGTCCTTATAGATGCTAAGTCAAGGGACTTTTTGTAGCCTAAAGCAGGAATCAGAACAGGGTAGATATTGAGGACTCCTGGTTTTCACTTGAATATTTATTTGGTTTGGGGGCTTTGATTTGACAAGCGTATCAAATACATTCTAACAGTCCTATGTCTTAGAAGTGGGAGGTGGGATTTTGACAGGGGCTGGATAGATGTGGCCTTTTTCTATACACTGATTGTGTTGAACTGTCAGAGGGTACACTTACAGCATGCATGGCTATCCCTGTAACCAGGACATGAAGACGTTTGCTTTTTGCTGTGTGTGAGTTCTCCCTAGTAAATCCTGCCACCCCGCCACAGGAGCCCCGGCACCTGCAGCTGCTTGCCGATCTGGAGGACAGCAACATCTTTTCCCTGATTGCTGGCAAGAAGCAGTACAGTGCCCCCACAGACTTTGGCTTCTGCATAAAGGTACTCCATTCCAGTCTGTCCTGAGGTGTCAACTATTAGTACTCGCTGGGAACTTTGGAATTGGAACAGTGACTTCCTTGATTATTGTTCTTGATTGTTGCTTTTGTGTTTTTTTTTAAACAGTTTGCCATAGGATTTTTTTTCATTCATGTTATCTTTCATTCAGATTATTTTTTTCATTTAAATTATTTCTTGTGTGCTTATGATGTGTCGACTTGATGCATTTGAGTAGCTCAGGAGCCCAGGGAATGCAGAGCAGACGCAAGACAGTGCCCACCAATGGGCTCACAACTTAGTGACCCCCAGTCTGAGCTTTCTGTGTGGCTTTCCAGTCACTGGCAGAGTCAAGAGGAATGGCCACAGCCCTGCCACCCTCTGCTTGTATGTGTGAGGCATATGCTCATACAGGCTGACTCATGAACACACAGGCACACACCTGTGTGACTATAACAATACACATAGCTACATGCATATACACATGCATGCATTCACACATGCATATACCTACATAAATAGAAACATGCACATGCCTACATATATACACAGCCATGCACACATGCATGCATGCACAAATCCTTCCATGTGCCCCAATGGGCAGGGCTCTCCCTTCTCTCCTGATGAGGCTGTGTGATACTGGTCCTCATAATAGTTGATAATATTAACTAATCACTCTCAGACTTGAGCTTCTCTCCTAAGAGTTTTACCAGATGCTCACAGGGTGGGAATGAAGCCAGCCTTAGTCTCCGGTAGCCTATGAGTACCTCTCAGAGGTACTTGCCCTATTCAGAGAGGATGGAAAGCAGGCACACATTCCATCTTAATACCCACCTTATATCTAACTCAGTGATGTTTCTTTGGGTAGCTAGTTATAGGAGCTCACTGCAAACCTTCTTAAGGTCTAAGGTCCTGCAAAACCATGATGGGACTGCGACTTCAGGAGAGGCTGGAGGCGGGAGCCAGGGTCATGGAGACCAGGTAGCCAGCAGCGCTCCTGGCCCTTGACCCACAATGGCTGTGCCCTTCTTTCTCAGGGCCAGTGGGCTTTGCTTCTCCCATAGTCTTATGCACAAATGACAGTCACTCATGTCCTTGATCCCCTCCAGATTTCTGAGGTGTCTGTCTCTTGTGTCTGGGTTTGAGATACCCCTGGAGACCCAACTGTATAAGCCTTTACCAGTTCTTCCCCTCCACCAAACATTAAACCCAACTTCTAGGGTATGAGCTGTGTCTTCACCCTGCCTACTAGTTCTGGCATTCCCCCTTTTCTGGGGTTATGTTGGTCTTACTGTGGGAGATTCCAGTCAGAGCCACTCAGATAACTCCATAGCCTGAAACCTCCAGGGCTTTTCTCCTGCTAACCTCTTTGAACTGCCTCCATCATCTTCTGGAAATCTTTTCCTCTATAACTGCAGAGGAACCCAGATTTCCCTCCACAGCCTTGTGCCTTCCACCTTGCTTACATGGTTGTGTCCTCAGAGACCCCCTAGTCAGAGGACAGCTGTTCTGCCACATAGCAAGTATCACATCATCAGAGCCTGTCTGTGCCAGGTAGATGGTGACAAATTGGTGCCAGAGTGTGGCACTTACATGCATCACCCTGGTGTCTGATCCTCTGGTGTGTGTAAGCTGCAGCCTACCTTAACCTGAGGCATACCTCTGATCTGCTCTGTGACACTAACTGGGCCTTCTCTTAACTCCTTCAGCCAAACAAAGTAAGGAGCGAAACTAAAGAGATGCGAATGCTCTGTGCGGAGGATGAGCAAGGCCGGATGTGCTGGGTGATGGCATTCAGACTCCTCAAGGTACCATGCGCCCTTCCATGTGCTCAGTGCCTATAGTAAGGAATGCCCATCACTCACTTTCCTTAACAGCCATCTCTTAATCAAGTCACTCACATGTCTTCTCAAATGAGGTCTCAGGAGCCCCTCCTACAGTAAGTCCTTCACACTGGAAGCGACAGAGCCACTTCCAGCCTCAACACTGCTGACATTTGGGGCTGGCATAAGCTGGTCTGTACATCACTGAGAAGGAACCGGCACCTCTGTGGTCTCCCCAGTAGATGCCCAACAAATGTGACAACCAGAATTATCCAGAGACATGACCGATGTTCCCTGGGGGTGGAGTGGGGATTACCCCTGGTTGGGAAGCACTCACAGGGTTAGAGGAACAAGAAAGAAACATTGATACCAGGGAGGTGGGGAGGGCAAACAGTTCATCAGTTCATCAGTTCATGATGAGCATTGTACCCCCACTTCCTAAAAAACCTGGGGCATGGGCCTCCCCGGTGGCCCAGCGGTTGAGCGCTGGGTTGCGAGGCTGCCCACAGCCTCTGCAGCGCCTGTTCGATCCCCGGCTGCTCCTCCGCCACCGGAGGAGGGTCCCACATGGTGCCCAGACCTCTCCTGCCGCCCGCTGCTCCCCTCAGCAATGTACTTCGGTCCTTCTGCCTGCTCTGCTCCCCGCTCTGGCTCTGGTGAATTATCTCACCCTCCCGCGCTTCTGACTATACCCAGTGCTTGTATAAATAAATGAATGAACCTTTAAAAAAAAAAAAAAAACCCTGGGTCATAAGGGAAACATGAACTATTGATTTCACAGTTCACAGTAGTGTCCCAAGGTGAGGGGGAGGGGGCGGGTGGGATATATAGAGTCTCCTCCAGTGAGTTCTAAACAAAAATGTATTAAATGGAACCTTGTATGGATCATGCCCTTGTCAGTGATTTCAGAGAAATTGCCAAAGTGATTTTATGAAGCTCTTTAGTGAAACCTGAGAGTATAATTTGATTTCCTACAAAATGTCGTTTGCTTTCAATCGTGCCCTTGTGTATAAAGTACATGTGAGTTGTAAGTTCCAAGACAAAGACAGTCTTGGCTAAAGTTAAGGAGTTGGGAGGAGAAACTTGTTTGGTCAGCTGTGGCTGACATGTCACTGGTACAGGATTCTCTGTGAATATCCTCACCTTCATTAAAGCTTTCAACTGGTCAGAGACTAAAGGTGGGGCCATGTAAATGAAGGAACAAGCAGTAGGAGGCTGAGCTCAGCACTTTAACTTCCCCTCAGAGACACCACAGAACATTAGTTCCAAGGACAGGCATCCTATAGTCCTGTGTCTTAGAACCTTATTTTATTTCTGCGACTGATAAAACAAAAAAGGATTAAAATTAAGATTTTATGATTTAGTATCAGAGAAAAAAATGTTAGTATTGGACTATGATATTGTATATCATAGACTACTTTACAAACAAGTTTTAAATCTAAATGTCCATCAATAGGGGGCTGGTTAAATAAATTACAGGGTATCAGGAATATCATAATTGTTAAGCTATTAACAATTAAAAACCAAGTGCAGCACATTTATATAGAATGTATGTTACAGTTATTGTGGGGGGATTGAAATACATACATTTGCTAGCATGTGTGTCTGCATTCTCTAGGACTGCAGGAGAAAACAGGTCCCTTATAGGGAAAGTAGATACAGTTGTGCAAATGGAGTATCAGTAGGAGGAAAACCTTTAAAGTTTTATATGTATGTGTGGATTTTTTCATCTGTTAGTATATAATCTCTTTTGGAAATAGCAAAAAGGGAATGAAAAAGGAAAAATAGTCATATGCTAAATGAAGGTATAAATCTGATTACTTTAGGCAATACACAATAAAATCCTGAGACTGGGGCCCTGTTAAAGGCTGGCCGAAAACTATAGTGGGTCTTGGGGCCAGGGAGTCTGCAGCATCCCCTCGCAGGGCCCAGTTCTTGGATATCAGGGGCTTGCTCACCAGTTAGGTCAAGAAACCTTGGTGGCATCTTTTCATGATTGACTTGAGATCTTGTCTACAATGAGAGAGGCCCCCACAGCTTTAGCCTGCAGACATCTTTGCCCCCAGAGTAGATCAGATGTGAGAACCCTCATGTGGAGGTAAGAGGGTACATGTAGGATTCCATGTCTCTTACCTGGCATCAGCCTGGAGAACCCAGAACCCTGAAACATAAAACATCAATTCCCATTATGTCTATCCAGCTATAATTTCTGTATAGTAGATAATATTGAAATAACTATTTGCATTGTATTCAAATTGCAGCATTTGAATTCGAGAGGAGGGTTTGATATTGAATTAACCAAGGCCCTCCTCTGCCTTTAAGTGCCAACACAGTACAGTTTCTTTAAAAAAAATAAAATCTTGGGCCTCCCCTGGTGGCACAGGCGGTTGAGCGTCGTGCTGTGAAGCTGTCTGCAGCCTCTGCAGTGTGGTTTTGATCCCGGCCTGCCGGAGAGGGTCCCACATGGCGCGGCAGACCTCTCCTGTCTTGCCCTCTGCTCCCCTCAGCAGTGTATTCCGTCATCTGCCTGTTCTGTTCCCGACTCTGTCTCTGGTGAATCCTCTTACCCTCCCACACATCTGGCCTGTACACTGGTTCTTGTATAAATAAATAAATAAATAAATCTTTAAAAAAATGAAATAAAATCTTAATTTGACCCTATGTAAGAGAAACATAGCATGGATGTACCCAACATCATAGATATGCTCTCAGAGAATAGAGCCTACAGAAAAATATCTGCTGCTTTCCTCACTCCTTCCAATCACATTATTTGTTAAGTAATTTTGTAGATACCTTGGGGGTTATTTCAGTTATGTCATCTCCTTGCCATATCCCTCCATCTTTTAAAATTTTCTGAAACTGATCTAAAAATTCTTTTCAAAATGAAAGGTATTTCATCAATGCAGGAGTCCATAATTTGCTTTTTTTTTTTTAAGATTTATTTATTTATGCATAGAAGACTTGGAGTATAGGCCAGAGGTGAAAGGGGTGACAGGATTCATCAGAGACAGCATGGGGAATAGAACAGGCGGATCTACTGAAATACACTACGGAGGGGAGCAGCGAGCAAGACAGGAGAGGTCTGCTGTGCTATGTGGGCCAGCTCCCTAGCTGCAGCAGTGATAGTGTGATAGCTCTGAGACTTAACCCCTATACCACCAGAGAGGCCCTGCTTTGGTTTTAAATACCTGACATTGAAAAGGCAATTAAAATAGATGTTCAGGAAAACTGGCTCTCCAAGGAGAAACTAGGGCCTCCTCTGAACAAACCCAGTTGAGTATGGAAAAGCATATCTGGAATTAGGATGAGGTTCATACCACCCAGGAAAACAGCACACTATAGGAGGAATAGAGGACTTAGTCATGGAGGACTAAGAAGGACAATGGGGGTGTTCGTTGCCTGATTGCCTGATGTCACTCCCTCTGCCTCAATAAGTCTTCATGAGAACCGAGGACACACACAAAGAAAAGGGGACTGGAACATCAAGAGTCTGTGTTCCTGAGCAGGAAGCTTCTTAGAAGTCCCTGGCGCGACTTGCAGAGTGGCTCAGATGTGTGGCAGCCCTGGCGGTGGAATGGTGCATAATGCCTGTGTGCTCACAGCCATAGCCATAGCCTTTATTGGTGCCACAAACACAGACTATGTTCTCTTCTACATTGGTAGGTGGGATAGGCAGAAAATAAAGTAGATCAAGAGTAAAAATCAGGACCTCCCTGGTGACTCAAGGGGTAAAGCACAGCACTATGAAGCTATTTGCAGCCACTGCAGCATGAGTTTGAGCCTCAGCCAGGGAGCTACCCACATGGTTCAGCAGACCTCTCCTGACTTGCCTGCTATTTCCCTCAGCAGTGTGTTTCAATCCGCCTGTTCTGTTCCCCACTCTGTCTCTGGTGAATCCTCTCACCTCCCACACCTCTGACCTGTATCCCAGTTCTTGTATGCATAAATAAATAAATCTTAAAATAAAAAATCTGTATCCTTCTGTGCATAAATCAGAGTACTCAGCTACTTCTAAATGAACTTATACAAATGATTTAAAAAAAAAATCGAGGCATATAAAATTCAGTCATTTTAAAATTGAAAAAGTGAAGATAGGCTATGCATTTCTGTATACCAGAAATGAATTTAAAATCAAGATGAAATAAATATTCTTTGCAAAAACAGAGAAACCTTAAAATTGACTAAAAATCTGGAGGAAGAAATTTAACTATAATTGTTTAAAAAATAGCCTTTCTAAGCCCTGTACTGGGTAGACTGTAACAGAATCTGGAAAAAACACTGTATGCTAAGGTTCTAGTCACCTTCACCAAGTTTCTAACACTGAGCTGTGGCCTCTTATATGGGATCTTAACCTTCACCATGCAGATAATTGGTATTACCTTTCCACTAATACCCATACACTATTGCTACTTACTTGTGTGTCTCCTACAAGATTGTAACTCCATTAAATTTATAAGATTATAGCTCCATTAAATTAGAAAGCTGAGCCCAACAATGTGAATCATTCTTTGAGTGACCTTTTGTGCTGTCTTTAGACAAAGAAGTAAACTTAACTTTTTTTTAGATTTTTTTTTAAAGATTTATTTATTTATTTATACAAGCACTGGGTACAGTCAGAAGCGCAGGAGGGTGAGAGAATTCACCAGAGCCAGAGCAGGGAGCAGAGCAGGCAGAAGGACCAAAGTACACTGCTGAGGGGAGCAGCGGGCGGCAGGAGAGGTCTGCGCGCCATGCGGGACCTCCTCCAGTGGTCGGGGAGCAGCCAGAGATCGAACCGGCGCCGCAGAGGCTGTGGGCAGCTTCGCAACCCAGTGCTCAACCACTGTGCCACCAGGGAGGCTCTTTTTTTAGATTTTTATTTATGTTTTGTATAGAAGAACTGCAGGGTGCAGGCCAGAGGTGCCAGGCAGGAGAGGGGGGCAGTGGGTGAGAGGATTCACCAGAGACAGAGAGGGGAGTAGAATAGTCATATGTGACATACACTG